TCTTTATTTATTTGCTATTTGGCATTTGGCTGAAAAAAAATGGGAAATTCTAAAACTTTAAACGTTTAAAGCTTTGCGAATATGAAATGTCGTCCATCGATTTGAGAAGATACGTAAAACAAAGCTTCTGCCATTTTAATTATTAAAAACGACTTAACTTTCTTTCTGGAGTTGCTCCGGCACGTAATAAAGTCGAATTTCGTCGGAGAAGGAAAGAATTTTTTTATTTAAAAATAAAAAAACACGCTTTTAGAACAAAAGAGCGAAAATTGCGCGGGTTACGGTGCATTTTAGTGCACTCACACCGGTTTGAAGCCGACCAGCACCACAAAGTTCAAGACCGACATGAGAATGAGATGATCTAGTGATAAGTTATGACCAGTTTGAACAGGATCAAAGTTACAAAAAACTACGAAATTTCGGTTGTGATCGAATTGGACCGAATGCTCATGTCTAGTGATTTCCCCTTCCTTTCAGATGAGACGAATTTCTTCCTCTTGCCCCTCACCAATTCGCTTCACATGCTTGAATTCGGCTTTCGATTCACCGAGTCGCCACGCGGGACGTGGTTTTCGATGGTTTTAGTAGCCGAGACAATCCTGCGACTGAGGAAATTTCGCGGAGTAAGCAGATTTAACGTTTAGTTCCTCTGGAGAACAGAGGAAATTTGACAGAGAAAGCCAAGTTATGGTCTTAAGTTATTTATTGCTTTCCACGATATGCAAGTAGTGTTAACAAAACATTGAACGATGATCAGAAAGAGTACTGGAGCAATGACCTCCCGTTTACTGCAGACATTTTCTGGTTTTCAACAAAAACCCACAAAAACTGTCTCTTAGGATCACGGGAATCGCTCGTGCGAGTACCAAATAGTGAACGGGCCACCCAGTAACTTCCATGGCCATCCCGAGCTTCTATTGAACACGTATCGGTAAGTTTTTCACTTTTTCGGCTAACGTCTCAAACAGACACCTACTTTCTAGAACAAGAGTAATCAAAGAATTAGTTTTAATTCAAGCGCTGGCTGACTGAGTATTGTGATTCCTCATCCATTGATACTAAAATTGAGCTGTTTGAATCATTGAGAATTAGATGAAGAGGTTTTTAGCCGAGTTAGAAAAAAGCACCCAAATTTCAATGAGTCTTTAGTGATACCGATGTCTTTCAAGAGCAATCTCTCACATCTCTATCCTACAGTATCTACATACCACCTGGATGTGCTCCAAGTATCGCTCTCAGCACATATCCCTGTAAATTTTGACAGTACTTTGCTTGTTTCATATCTTTCTCGTACAGTAGGCAGCGAGCTGGAACTGACACTTCGTAATTGTGGTGGGACGGTGTTTTTCGCGGCTCTCGACGATCAAGCGAGTGTCCGGTTGCAGGAAATAGAAGCTGCCTATTTTTGCGGTCGAGTTTATTCTTTTTTATCTTTCTTTTCTTTACCTGCAGACATTTGCACTTAACCGAGTCCCGCCCCAGATTCGGATCGGAGTCGGAAAATTTGTGCCGGTTCGATTTGGTAGCAAACTTTACAAGGCATCCGGTAGCAAGATTGTGTGAAAACCATCAAACTTATGGTATTAAATTTTGAAGATAACATAATAAGATAATTTTTATTGTATGAAATTTCTCTTGTTATGGTAGCAGACAGATGAGACTTGATAACAACAGCTGCAACGAGTGCACATGGCTTAATCACAATGCACCCACTGAGTGCTCAACAAACGTCATGTTGTTTTTCCTCTTCGATTAAAAGGAAACATATTCTGTTTGTTTTCAGATCTTTTCCCCGTCAACATATCGTTTCAAACAAACTCTATTGGATTCGGTCAAATCTCGGTTCAATATTTGAAGAATTTCGGCGACGATTGGATAGATAGCGAGTTAGCTTCTTTAAAATAACAACTTATTTTTTGAATTTGATTCAATTCTCTTTTAGCGCCAACACGACACTTTCGAATGTGCGAGCGGTTCAGGTAAAAGGGAAAACAATGAGAAAATCGATTGTGAAATACTTCAGCTTAAATATTACATTTTGCCCAAGAAATACAAGAAATGCTTCCTGAAGCTTCATTTTGTTCGTTCTTTCGACAATCGATTCGACGATCGATCACCGGTAACCCAAAATCCATCAAATCAAGCTGAGACATGCCCCAATCTCATCTCTTTTTTTTACATTTACTCTTTCACTAGACATCTTTTTCTTTCTCAACACTAGCTGGTAGCTTTTTTACATTTTTCAACTCAAGACATTTAACTTCTTGCAAAAAGGCCCAGATGACTGTCATTGTGATAATTCTTAAAGAAAATTCAGCGATTTTTTCTGAAAATGTGTTAACTTGATGAGCGTCTTTAAACAGTAAGCAGAGGTGTTTTTAATGCAAATTTTGTGCTCACCAAATGTCCAAACACTTTTTTGAAATCGTATTTAAAAAGGGACTGGTACGAAGTCTACAAGCCAACTCGTTTGTAGGCTGTAAGCTTCATATTTCGTTATTGATAACATGCCGATTTCTTTTCCATTTTGTTTAACTATTATAGATACGTAACTACTGTGATACCCATTCATGAAATTAGTTAATCTGTCTTTGCAAACTACACAGTTGAAATAAGTAACTTGTTTGAGTGATGAGAATAAACACTTTTTGCAAACGATTAAACCAACTTCTGAAAAAAACTCTCAAACAAAAACGTTTTCTAAAACTGAACTCAACTTTTTGCTCATTTTCCTGTCTTTATCACAAAGTTTTTCTATTCTTCTACAGTTTTATTGATCCAACGATAAACATTTCAAAAAGAAGCACTAGAAAAGGTCACACAAATATTGAATTTACATTCAACATTTACATTTACATTCAACAAAAATCCTATTTGATCCGATTTTATTCATTTCCGATTCGAAACCATGTCTTGAACAGCCTCACGCGCGGTTGCACGCTACTAACAAAACTCAAGATATCTAAAAACTAAGAGTGACCGCCCGTATAAACATGGGGTCGATCTATCAGCTGCCAAATCTTCAGAACGATTGGACAACTTTGGACGAGTCTCCAGAGATTATCACAAACAGACAGACAGATGGAAACCATGTCGAAAATTCGGATAATATTGTTGCTCGATCCAAAATCCAAAACCGAATCGATCCAATTTTTGTTCTAGGGGTAAGAAATGGTGAAAAAAACGATAGGCACCAAATCATTCAAAAATTCCTTCTTGGAGCCGAGTTATTTGTGCACTTTTGTGGTGAAAAAGGAATAATTGGGCAGGGGAGAAACCAGAAGTAGCTAGCATGCAAGCGCGCTAGCTTCAACTTTGCTTGGCATCGGCCACTGTTATCGAAGCTTTAAGCTTGATTTCAAGAAATTTCCATTTAGTATACGTCAAAGATAATTGGGAATAGCATTCGAAAGATTGGAAGCAAAAGATGAGTGCCGAGTTTTGACGTGGGACTACGGATCTTATATATCTTGGAGTCATTCTATATGCTTCCAGTCTGTTCCCAGAAATTCCCGACTCGATCGAACTCGTCGTTTTTCGTGATTTTGACAATTTCGACCAAATTTTTGTCAAAAATAATCCTTAGTTATAAGTGTAAGCCGCCGCCAAGTCGTTTTTGGTAGCTTTTTGAAACATTCGTCGTCTATTTTTCGTCCAGAAACCATCACTCCATAATTATTTTTATAAAAGAGAGAAGATATTGAGATTTCTCAAAATACTAATCAACCCGGATCACCTTTACTTACAAGCGTTGTATGGTGGCTTTTTTGACCCGCAGTTTCTTTTGGAAGTACCTAATAAAACCCCAATTTTCTCACAGCCCGAGTAGACATGGGCGCTACAAACTACAAAGTCAGACTACAAACCCTTGTAGAAACGCGCAGAATGGATATTTTTGAAAACGTTTTTACCAAAAAATTGGGCCAACTTTAGGCCTTCGAATGACACCACAAATATTCATTCTACACGTTTCTACAAGGGTTTGTAGTCTGACTTCGTAGTTTGTAGCGCCCATCTCTAAGGTCGAGTACGGGTTATTGATGGGAAAATTCCAACCGAAACCTAATTCCACCTTCGTTTTCTCAGCCGTCTCTTGGTCGATTGTTCTGAAATTTTGTTTACAAATAGAAATTAGCATTCTCTGTTTGTAAACAAAATTTCAGAACAATCGACCAAGAGACGGCTGAGAAAACGAAGGTGGAATTAGGTTTCGGTTGGAATTTTCCCATGTCTAGTACGGGTTGATAACTTTCCACCCTAAAATTCTAAAATACGCCTAAGCTACCGTGCTCGGGTCGGCGTCTCCCTTTTCCCCCTATAAAACGAATTTGGGTCCCTTCAATAATTCTTTTGAAGTTTGAAGTATCATCTTCGTTTTTGGTAAATGTTGTTTATTGTTAAAATTTCCCTTCCCTTATTGTTTTCATCCCTCCTCCCTGTTCCCTTCTTAGAATTGTTCAAGTTCTAAAGTTTTGTACTTTTCTCGGTTCTTTCCACTTTATTGTTCTTCAAACCCGCGTCTTTCATATCACCGATAAAGTTATTAAAATCTAAACATCTCTTCTCTATAAATGTCAGTCAATCTAACCCAGCCGCGAATCGTCTCCCTTTCGTTTTGGCAAATCATTTGAGATTAGTGTTTCTGGGTTAAAAGATTTAGCAGTTTGGGTAAGGTTTCGACCCAGAATTTGGATGTTTCAAACAGTAACATGTTGCTTTTTTTATTCAAATCTCAAAGCTTCACTTCAGAAATGTTCTCCACTAACTTTCTACAAGCCAACCCCTTGTGGTCATACATCGGTAAGCTGATTTCGAGGCGTTTTGTTATCTGAAAATTTTTAGAGAAAATGAATTTCGATGAATGCGGAAAGTTCATCAAGAATTTTTTGATGGAACTGCTTGGGGTGGAGCGATTCGCGAGTCTTCATCGACGACTTGGTGGGAAGATTGATGCGGAGAATTCCAACAATTCGTCCCGTCTCTACACAGGATGCTCGTCAATGCAAGAGCGACTGATGGCAAGTGGGGTATTTTATGTAAAAAGTGTATTATCAATTGTTTTTACGGGTAACAGAAAAATCTTGCGAAAATTTCAACTTTTGATGAGCTAAAGGTTTGGAATAATGAGCTTACAAACCTTTCGGAGCCTTGTAGCTTGTAGCAAAAGAAATCAGAAATTGCGAATAGTTTCTTTGACATCAATGAAGTTTTTTAGTTAACGAGCTGCCACAATATCATGCCTTTCTGATCAAGGCAATTGGCCAAGCAGACACCCAATACCTGACGAATAAATACGAGGAGACGATCAGCGATGTCAATTTGTTCAACTATTGGAGTGGTCGATTTGATGAGGTTAACCTGGCCGTGGAACATTTGTGGTCTTTGAAGAGTTGGTTTTGCTAAACTTTTGTTGAATTTTTGAAGTTACCCAAATTAACATGACACTCATCAACTTTAGAAGATGGACAATCTCCATCAGATGATCCATATCTTCACTTCGATGTGTTCGTAATGACCGCTCTTATTGGCTTTAGTTGGGATCTTTTTGAAAAAATGAGGTAATCGAAAAAAAGGGGGCGGGCTAGCCGTAAATATTGAATTTACAGGACAAGACGTGGAGAGAAAATCGAGAACAAGAGGGGACGAGCTTGGTGGGTTTTTAGTTTTTGCTTATTTTTCATTCATTTCATTCAGTTTCTTTTTGAGAACACAAATTACTATCGTCATTCAGGGGTCCAGCTTATCAACCAACGTCCACAAAAGGCTACCTTTATATCAGAAGCGAGCAGTTGACGACCGGTATGCAAAAGTTTTTAAAGAGAAACTGATTAAACATTTTCAGAATCAAAATTTGCCACTTCGGGAATGGGAATCGCAAACTTTTTGGAAGATTTTCTCGGAAAAGAACCATTGAAGCAACTGAACAAGAAGCTCTCCAATGAATTGGAATCAGATTGTGATCGCTGGAAACGGACAAACGATGAGGCACAATTGTTCATACATCAATTCCCCAAAACTCTCCGTTCGTCATTTTATTACTGATAAGAAGCTGAGCCAGACATAATTAAAAGTCATTAGTTGTAATCAGAGTCTAAAAATGTTGAAAATTCTTTTCATTTCCAGTTTCTCCCAGTGAAGTATCATGCTCGGAGATCCACCGTTATTTGGCTCATTTGTTTGACGAAACTCTCCTCAAACTTTTCTATCAACGAATTGATGAACTTACCAGCGACATCTCTCATTTCATTCTATGGACTGATCGTTTCGAAAGCGTTCACCAAGCTATACATCGAAGTAAAACGGAAGGTATATTATGAGTACCGTGTCTGATTTAAAACCTGTTTCAGCTTTATCCGATCTATCTCGTACCTCCGAGCTGCTCTTTTTTCGTTCGCTAACCAGCTTCTCCATGGTTTTCTTGGTTTGGAAATTTTGCTTCTGGATGAACAGGTGATTGGAATGAATTTTAAATTGATAAAGCCTTTGTAAAGTAAAAATTCAGCGTGAAGCCTATAATGATTATTGTTTTTTTCAGAAAGGAATCGACGTTGGAACTGCCAAAAGGGGCGGTAGAGGATCCACAACGATATGTTCTCAACTTTGTCGTCGATCTTCTCACCGAGGGCCGTAGCATGGCGATTTTGAGGGAAACTCGGTGGCTCGGGGGACGATTGTGCGAAACATGAACGCTATATGAAGGTGATCAAGAGAATCGGTGAATTGAGAAAGAACTCTCAACAGCCGGCCAAAGGTTTGTTCGAAAAAATATATTTAATAATTTTTTAGTTGCCATTAAATATTTGACAAACGTCTTGAGCAAGGATCTACTCGATTATATCATTTTGAAATGTAAGGAGGCTACCAGTAACACGGAAAACTTTATTTACTGGAATCGACGATTTGTGACGGCTGGCATGGCTATCGAACGACTCCAAGGTGTGTATTCGTTTAGTAAAACCCTAAAACTTTGCAATTTTTATATTTTAACTTTCAGAGAACATGTGTCAGTACAGTATTTCGCCGGTGTCTGCTCCCTTCTTTACAATCATCATCTGCTGGGAGCTCGCGTAAGCAGCATTTAAGTGATAGACAAATGAAAGCTCTGCAACCGCTTTCTATATCAATCGTCTATTTTTTAGAGCTGAAGTGGGCGAGATCAAGCCATCGACAACGAGTTTAGCTGATGAGTGAGTACAAGAACTAAATATTCAAATTATAGCAATGATACATAACTTTTCTTGTTTTTAGAGAAGAAGTCAAGAAGAAACGAATCACGAAACCGCCACAAAAGGATCGACAAAAGTGAGATGAATTAGGGAACTCAAAACAAAGAAATTGATCATTAACAACGTTATTTTTAAAAATTTTAAAAATTTTATAATTTTATACAAAATAAAAATTTTCAAGAACCATGCAATAAAGATGCTCTTAACTCAATTGTTCAGATTACGCTTTACCCCGTGGACCCCCGCGCCTCTTCCCGAAGCCCCATCACCTCCACCCACACAACCAATCCCACAACCAGAGCTCACCCAGAAACGATGTGTCACTTGTGGAAAAGAATTCACTTATGAACTCGAGAATTCTTTTTGGGTATTTGATTATAAAAGAATACTCAACTCAAATTTTACAGCTTGAATGCAATCACACAGTCCCCAAATTCTTCGCTCATGAGCAATGTTTTGTCAAGGCTCTCAAAGAACAAATCCCGAGTCTGGATGGAAGAAAAAGAAAGGTGAGTGGAGGAAATACAATGGGCACAGAAAAGTTGAATGGTTTAGGATTGGAAGAAGGCGTTGTGCGTGGAAGATGGATGTAAAGGACATCTTCTCTTCTGTGATAAAGTCATCAAAGGAGTCCCACATGGAAATGTGAGTTTCAGAATGAGTGACACAAATCGGGCGTTTTCTAGCTAGACGGTGAAATGATTATTCAAATCATTATTTTCAGCCGATCCTCTACGATGACTGAATGCTCTTCTCCTGAATAAATTTGTCGATCTTCATCAACCATTAAAATAACATTGATACATCAAAATCTTTGTGATTTGTTAATCTAACCTCATCGAGTTTTCTTTGACTGACTAATCGTTTTTCAAGTTTTTAAAATATTTTGTTTTTTGTTAAATATTGTGTTGGTTTTTTATTCACTTAAGTGTTCAAAACACTTATATCAAATTCACAAACAAAACTAAAGTCATCCATTTCGTGATTTTACATAGTGGATAGGTCATATATTTCACAAAAAGTGATCATTATTTTGTTTACTTAATGTTATTGAAGTTGTTACCTAAACTAATGTTATTGAAGTTGTTATCAATGTTATCTAAATCTCTTCTCAATACCGTTTAAGCTTTTGATGGATTTTGTTTAATTGAATAAAAGTTCGCAACTAAACGTGCATAAAAGATTTTTATACTAAGCAGCTATAAAGTTATAGATATAGAAAGAGTTAAGCAGATCCCACTGGCGTCGCTTGTTGTAGACGGACCTTTCGTTCGGCTCGTTTCAAAGCATAAATCGTGTGAGCTCTGGAAAATTTGGCCCAATTTTGAAGTCACAAACAAGGATTCCGCACAGTCCCAATTTCGATATTGAAAGATCCATCGTGAAGTTTTTTTTCTTTATATAGCATTGAATATTGAGTATTTTGAAAACTTACCAGTTCGATAATGTAGAGCAACTGTATTGATTGATGGTTATTGCGCCATTCCACAAATCAATACATAACTAAGTACTTTTTAGCCAGTTACTCAACAACTCTGAATGCAGCTAATCGGTTAAACATTGAATTGTTTCAGAATCGAAATTATTTCAAGGATTTAGCTCCAATAAACGAAGATTTGACAGAAAATTCGATAGGTTAAACAAATTTTGATTTGTTTTTACAAAATTTCAGTGGAACAACGGCTAATGATGACTGTCACACTACAGTTGCTCTACATTATCGACCTGGTGGGTTGGCATATAAGAATCCTAAGTTTTGGTTCTTCAATAGTCTTGAAAAAAGAGCCCAAAAGTCTTCGCTTTCAAAACTGAGAGTAAGAGATTTAGACTTGAACTCTTAAAATCTAGGATGCAAGCAGTCAAGTGTTGAGAGCATACATGGTAATGGATCTCGTTTGGCAGGATGTTCGTCTTGTATGGGATCCCGAAGAGTTCGATGGACGTTCTGCAATCGTTGTCCAATGCTATTCTCTTTGGATTCCGGATGATTTCGTGATGAACATTTGTTGGTCAGCCCAAAAATTTATCGAGGGCACTGAGACTTATCCTGGAAATATTGTTGTCACGGCTGCGGCACAAGTTGCCCCAATTATTAGCTTGGCAAATATGAAAGGTTATTTTTTACAAAAAATATTGCCCTGTCGTTACGAGGAACATTCGCTGTCTAGGATTTTTCTCAATAATATGTCAAAATGTGCTCATGTTTTTTTTGCAAAAACTTTTTGTTTTGAACAATATTTGTATTGTTTCAGCTCGGCAAAGATGAATAACCAAAAATTTAAAATCAGGGCCGCCATTTTCTTTGAATTCAAGTTAAACAAGAAAGCTACGGAATGCCATCAGAACATTTGTACTGTTTTTGGAGAAGCTGCTCTTACTTACAAACAATGTTGTGTTTGGTACGATCGCTTCCAAACGGGAAACGAGTCATTGGAAGATGCACCACATGGAAAGCCGCCGATTACTTTGGACGATCAGCTGTTACTGAACGAGGTCGACTTGGACCCATTGCAAACGTTTAGAAAATTAGCAGAAAAGCTCGGATGCACTCATGTTACCATTTACACGTTCTTGGGAAATCATATCGAAGCGGGAAATGGCTCCCCCACGACCTCACTGATGCCCACAAAGTCACACGAGTCACGTTGAGCTCTGTTCTTCGACGTAAAGCTAGCCATCGTGACTTTTGGAAGTATTTTTTGACATCTGATGAGACTTGGCTTTCGTATGAAAATATTCAGCTCTATGGACAGTGGCTGAGTTGGAAGCAGACCTCTCATCCTATCCCGAAGCCTCCGAAAAAGTTATGCTTTGTGTGTGGTGGAATGCTAAGGGATTGGCTCATTTTGAAATATTAGATAAAGGAGACACTGTTGACGGAAGACTTTATGCAGAACAAATGGGTCGAGTCGATCCAGCACTGAGGAAAAAGAGGATCGAACCATCGAAGGTCAGATTTCTTCACGACAATGCTAGGCCTCACATTTCAAAGATCGTCCACGAACAAATCGATAAGTTGAGCTGGAAACTTCTTCCACACCCACCATACAGCCCTGATCTAGCCCCATCGGATTACGATCTCTTTCGGTCAATGAAACAAGCAGTTTCTGGACAGCAGTCCAAACAAAAGCAGAACATCGAAAATTGGGTTGCCAACTATTTTACCTCTAAAAATCTTCAATTTTACGAGGACGGTATTCGTGATTTGGGACAACGTTGGAAAGAAGTTATTAATGGTTCTGGTGAATACATTTGATTTTGAAAGTGTTTAAATAAATTTTTCTGTTATGTTAAAAATGATCAGAAAAAATAACCTTTCATATTTGCCAAGCTAATAGATATCCAGACCTTGTCTCGTTTTTGCCTCGATCGTTAACTATGAGTGGTTACTGGGAGTGATTGCTCATGCTGACAAGTTTCCGTGAAATTTGATCACTAAAGATTTTTTATATAATAATTTGCCAACAAATTTATAAGAGTTTAAACATTCTCTGGGAACTACCGAATAGCTCGAATTCTCGAGAAACCCGAAAGTGACCCCAAGCCCGATTTGCACCAGAAGAAGTTTATGCTCTGGGTTTTCTGGGATATGGAGGGAATGGTGTACTGGGAGTTGCTGGATAGCAAGACGGCCGTTAATGCAATCAAATACAGTGAACAGTTGGGAAAGGTGAATGAATCAATGGTATCAATCGACACGCAATTTTGTTCTGCATCGAATGATAATTAAAATAGTCAAAATTGAAGGATTGGTGCTGAGAAAAACCTTAAATCGTCAACGCCAACAGATGTTTTCGTTACAAGTCTAATTTGAGTTAGTATTAACTTCGAGAAAAACTTTTTTTTAATCTACATTACTATTCCTTCAACCTAATATACATTTCTTGAGTTTCATTGTTTAAGTGTAAACCCTAGTCTTTGAAAAAATAATAAATTTTACTTTTAAACTTCAAAATGAATTTTCTTTTCTATTCACCTATCTTTTTTAGGCATTTTTCCTGTTATCATAAAAATAATGCTCCTTTTCCCTTCGTTTTATCATTTAATTCCCTTCCTTGTGTAGACGTTTATCAATTCTGATCTAGCACTTAAGAACTTTCACGGGTTTTTTCACTCTCAAAGTCACAAAGCATACCAGGGTTTCTTTTCTCAAAAAAAGAGCCGTCCCAGCATAAATAGCAGAGAAAATCACATCGGTTCGACGTTGGACGTACATTTCTTGAGTTTCATTGTTTAAGTGTAAGCCCTAGTCTTTGTAAAAATCATAAATTTTACTTTTAAAACGGCTACCAATTTCAAAAGAACCCACCGGCATCACAACTAAATGAACTGTGGGATAGAAGAGATTAAAAACGGCAAAAGATAGCATCAAATAGCGATAATTACCCATATCCTTACGACTGTGAAAGAGAATTGCATAAATGAGGATCGAATTCATCAAATAGGCCAATCCTCCATCCACCTAAATGACACAACGCTCGGTGAAGAGAAGATTTGTCAACTTCAGAGTCGCCACAATGAAACGTTTTTTGATACTCACAAAAAGTGAGGTGTGAAGAGCCAATTTGTGTGGAGAGGAAATGTGCAAATGCTTCGAATTGTCCGATCATCATTGACATTTCGTTTGCTTATTACATTGAGGATAAGGTATCAGAAAATCAGGTCTGATATATATCACGTCACCAAGAACATCAAGCTGTACGCAACGCACGGTATGTCTTTTCTATTTCTATTAAATAGCGCATAAGACCTCCCCCCAAGATGACAACAGGCTCTTCCAACCGCTCAGGTGACAACCTTGTTGGATTGACAACCCTGGATTGATGCTGGCAGTGGTGGAGGTGGAGAGTCCGAGGAGGTCGTCCTCTTCCTCTTCCTCTTCCTCTTCCTCGACCTCGAGAAGCAGAATTTGTGCTACTTGTCGGTTTATAGACACAAGAAAAAAAATGAACTTATCAATTACATGAAATTTTTTTTTCTTGCACAATGTACAATTCATTTTTTTATTAGCAGCTTTGAATTTTGATAATTTATTTAAAAGAACATGACCAATAACAATAAACGATAACAATTAAACGATGCATAAAAATAAAATAAAATAATAAAATAAAATCCTGCAGGCGCGGAAGCAAATGTCCCGTCGCAGGACCAAGTGGCATTCTAAAGTACAACAAAAAAAATTTACAAATAGATAGCTAACCTGCAATAATTGTTGTTTTCCCCAATCGGTCCAGAAGACTTTCATTGCTTTTTCTTTCCAAGATGTGTACGCATCGCCAGTGTCGAAACGTAGAAACCTTGTACCTTTATTTTAATTTCTATATAAATCATTTAAAAAGCGTGCGAAATTTTCCATCATCGATCGGACTTAGCCACATTTTTCCGCCAGAAATTACTCGCTGTCTCCTCGCCATTATTGAAAACCGGAAACATTGAGTAGGCGTGTTACGTCGGGTGGACTGTTTGTTATCGTCTGCCGTACAATTTCTTTGACGAGGACACCCATCTTTGCTTGGTGTTTAACATCTTCGAACACAATTCGAACCTAAAAACGCATTTATTACACAAACAACAATGTCTTGATCATCTACCTGTTTTTTGCTTTCTGGTGGCAAGTGGTCGTGATTTTTCGTGACCGTAAGAATGCCGGTTGCTTTGTTTTGATGGGCTCGGCCGTAACATTTCGCCTTTGAACACCTAAAAAGAAACAGAACTGGGTATTACAAGACAAATCATACTTCC